TGAACAGTGATGAACAGTGATGAACAGTGATGAACAGTGATGAACAGTGATGAACAGTGATGAACAGTGATGAACAGCGATGAACAGTGATGAACAGTGATGAACAGTGATGAACAGTGTGTACAATCCTCAGCGTTCAGACCAAGTTGATCACTTAAACTAAGGTTGTGTCAGCTTCTTCTTCTTTGTTGAAACGTTTCATGTTTTATCCAAAAGACTCCCACCGTCTTCTTCAACAGAAGAATCCGTCCAGACGACCGGACTTGGATTATGGAGCACCAGGACATCGTTTTAACTTGTTTTCCACTTCAAACTTGTACAACTCCTGCTAGATTTGTTTACATCGGCGTTAGAAATGATTCAGATTTAAGTTACTAAAGAAAATAATTTCTGTTCACTCATTTTGTTTAGGTGGTCACAAACTTATGATGCGTTTCTCCATCATCATCATCCTCATCCTCATCGATGCTGCGAGGCAAACGTTTTCACCCGTCACTGGTTTGGCAGACGTACGCTGGTTGGTGTAATAGAAAAACAATATTACAAACTAAAAACATGAACTAATATGATTCTGACCCTTGAGCTCAAAGCTTCGTGCAATTATTTGATTTCATTTTGTAGTTTGAAGGTTTTGCAACTTTTGCTGCCACGTCAAAAACAAAGACTCTGATTTTTCCCACTTGAGTTCTTAATGTTAACGTTAAATGATCTAGAGATTAAAAAGTCAACACTGCACCCTCCTTCCCAAGTGCTTTTATTAAACATTGTTCACACAAAAACTCTTGTGCCAGGTGAAAAGGAAGTCAAGTGCAACAAATCTATCTTCGGTTTGAGCCGAGGTCAGAGGTCACGGCCTCCAGTGACACACTGAAGGACGTCTGCAAGTCCCTGCTTTACTCTCTGGAGAACATGTGCAGCACCAGGTCACACACACGGTGGCTGTAGCCAAACTCGTTGTCATACCTGCCAAACAAAGTTGGAACGACATCCGTCAGATCAAGATGAAGAAAACAACACGTGGAAAAAGACCCGTAAACGTTGCACTTTTAATAAAAACAATCTGACTCTGTATAATCTGCAGTTGACCTCAACAAAACGAATTACCATGAAACCAGTTTGACAAAGTGGTCGTTCAGGGCAATGCCAGCGCCGGCATCAAAGATGGAGGAGTGACGGTCGCCGTTAAAGTCCGTCGACACAACCTGAGCGGAAAGACACATTTACAGCCAGGACAACAGCTGGAGATGAAAACTACAGAAGTGACTGCATGAACTACAGAAAATTAATAGAAACCTCGAAAAGTTCATCTGGACCTTTTTTTTTTTTTTTTGTTTTGTTGTTGAGACGTTTTGTCCTTCATCCAAAGGACTTCATCAGTCTGGATTAGTGAGCGTGAGCTTTGATGTTTTGAACCACTCTGGCTTTGGCTGCCTCAGAGGAGTCGACAGGGGAGAGGGCGGGCCCCAGAAACCATCTTATCACAAGCAACTTGTTTGGACTACTATGTGAGTGCGCTGCTTGTGGGACTGAGTTTGTTGCGGCTCCTCGGACTGATGAAGTCCTTTGGATGAAGGACGAAACGTCTCAAAAAAAGAAACCATCTTGATGACCTGAAATTTGTCAAACAAGAACATTTAGAAGATGTGCTGCTGCAAAACAACACTCGATCTCACCTGATCCTCCGTGTATCCCAGAATTCCTTTCAGTCGACCCTCAGCGGCGGCCTTCACAGCCTTCTTGATGTCGTCGTACTTCGCCTGTAAAAAAGTAACAACAAAAGGCTCCAATTTAAAATGTTGACTCTGGACTTTTAAAATAATAACCCTATTTTTAAATTGTTCCAAATGACTGGAAAACAATTAAACGAAATAGATTTATTTGCATTTTGATGTCAAATTTAGGATCAGGCTTTAAAGAATACATGGTTTGATTGAGGAAGTTTAGGTCATGTGATCAAACACTCACAGGCTTCTCCAGGCGGACAGTCAGGTCAACGACCGAAACGTTGGGGGTTGGGACCCGGAAAGCCATCCCAGTCAACTTCCTGTTAATAAAACAAGTGTCCAGTTTGGCACAAAGTTTTCTAGGAAGTGTTTGAGCAACAGATTCCCCAGTTGAGCAGATTTGGGTGTTTTTTATTTTGTGTGAACTTAAATCTGGAGGAATAAAGCCGTACCCGTTCAGCTCAGGGATGACTTTACCCACAGCCTTGGCAGCGCCGGTGGAGGCCGGGATGATGTTCTGGGAGGCTCCTCGTCCATCTCTCCACATCTTACCCGAGGGGCCGTCAACGGTCTTCTGCGTAGCCGTGACGGAGTGGACCGTGCTCTGGAAGGAACGGTAAAACGTCAGGACATTGATTTAATCAGTCAAAACGATCCAGTTTTACAGTAAAACATCACGGTTTGCCCGTTTTGCAGTGGAGAGCAACCGAAGGTGCCGTTGTAATTAGTTGGCAGCTTTTTTACCATGAGGCCCTCGATGATACCAAAGTTGTCGTTGATGACCTTGGCGAGGGGAGCCAGGCAGTTGGTTGTACAGGAAGCATTGCTAGGATGATGGAAATATATTATTATTTATTAGTGATGCAAAGCATCTTCTGATTCTCCTCTTCATCAGGTGAGAAAGCTGTGAAGCTCCTTCTGCAGATCCAGGACCAGCAGAAACCCACCTGACGATCTTCATGGACTTGTTGTACTTGTCGTGGTTGACGCCCATGACGAACATGGGAGCGTCGGCACTGGGAGCAGAGATCACCACCCTCTTTGCGCCCCCCTTCAGGTGAGCCTAATGGGAGGGGTGACAAAGCAAAGAGGCTTGACGTGAAGAAAACCCTAACCCCATTTCCAAGAGTAAAACTGTTCAAGCCCCCCGAATGAACTCACTGAAGCCTTCTCGACGGTGGTGAACACACCAGTGGACTCCACAACATAATCCACACCAGCGTCGCTCCACTTGATGCTGGCCGGGTCCCGCCTGCAGGTTTTACACAAAAGACTCAGAATCCTAACCAGGAAGAGGATTTAACCTTTGAAATGCGACAGAGGCGTACTCGTGGAAGACCATGATGCGCATGTTGCCGATGACCAGCTTGCCACCTTGTGTCTTCACGTCTTCGTGCTTCCAAGCGCCGTGAGTGGAGTCGTACTTGAACATGTAGGCCTGAGACACAAGTTTAAGTTTTAAAGACCTCCCTTTTCGAAATAATTTCTATCTGTGACGTTTTACCCTCAAATCAACCTAATCTCTGTCGTCATCGTCTAAAAAGCCACAGAGATGTTGCTGATTTGAGAAGGACATGATGTCAACGTCTCCATTATCGATTTAATGAAAAGACGCAGATTTTCCTGAAACGTCAGCCACGCTGCTCACCATGTAGTCCAGACTGATGAAGGGGTCATTGATGGCCACGACCTCCACTTTGCCTCCACTGACAGCAGCACGGGTCACCAGACGGCCAATGCGTCCAAATCTGAAATGCAGACAGAGAGATCTGTCTATGAGCAGAACATCCGATGGATCTTTGGACTTTTGATGTGCAAAAACAGGAACAAACTCTCAGGGATTGTCAGGATGTGCAGCAAAACTGCTGGTACAGCCCTGCAGAACCTCACTGACCTAAAGAACCTCACTGACCTACACAAGGTGAGGTCAGTGAACAAGGCCAGGCTGATTCTGGCAGATCCTGATCACCACTCCATGGTGAGTTCAGGTTGCTTCCATCTGGATGCAGTTATCTGCTGCCCAGATGTAGAACGAACAGACTGAAACACTCATTTATCTCTGTAGCGATCAGGCTTCGCAACAAACTGTTATGATTTTTGTTATTTTGATGTCTCAATAGTCTAGTGTGGATGAAAGTTTTGTAAGCTCCATCATCCAGGTAGATAACAAACATAGCAAGTTGGCCACCTGGCCTAAAACACTTGATTGCTGTTAAGGATAGTTAATGGTTTTGGATGGGTGCGTTCTGTTTGCACATGTTGCAAAACCTGCTTCTGAGATTCCAAATCAAGCACAGCAATGAAGGCTACTTATGGGACAGATCTGGTTGGCAGGCCTCAGACTGGTGAAGTCCTCTGGATGGGGATGATTTAACCTTTTTTGTTGTTCTAGTATGGATGTTTTGTGTGACTGCTGACTGTGAAACAAATTGGCCCTTGAGGATAATAAAGATTCTTGAACTTCATGGATTCAAGGTTCTTTATTTATCATTCCACCATGTGGTACATGTGGTGGAACGAAATTGTGTACATAGGGTCCCAGTTACATCCAACAAAAATATATAATTTAAAAGAAAATCAGTAATAAGATCTAAGATATGAACTTAGAAAAATCCAACAATTTTCAGTCAGGTCATCTGGACAGTTTCTTTTTTTGCTGAAACGTTTCACCTTCCATCCAGAAGGCTTCATCAGTCAAGGAAACACACAACACAAAACTGATTCCTCCCCCAACAGCTTACTCCAAAGTGGAACAAACCAGTTATGTTGGTGCTAAGATGGTGTCTTTGGCACGCCCCCTCCCCTGTTGCCGGCCCTCTTCCTCGTCGACTGTCATGTCAAACTGGTTCAAAACCAACAAAGTCCATGCTCAATAATCCAGGTATACAGTCCAACAATTTTCAGTCAGGGTAGAAGCTGTTCCTCAGTCTAGTGGTTCTACACTTAATGCTCCTTAACCTCCTTCCTCAGGGGAGTGGGGTAAAAAGTGTGCTGGGTGAGTGGGGTCCTTCATGATGCAGGTGGCCCTCTTCCTGCATCTGGAGGTGTAGATGTTTGTGATGGTGGGGAGACTGACTCCAACTTGAACTTGGATCAGTCCTGGATTGGCATGTGCACAATCTTAGTTAACCTAAGCTTGTGCACATGTGAAGGGACACCATCATGTAAAAATTACAGATTGTGGCTAAATCTGGCATGATGCAGCTTTCTTTTTATGATATTTATACAATTCCCTTTTGAATTATGTGACACAAGAAGACATTATTTAAACTTGAAAGACTTCACTGTGACTCTGAAGTGTCAGCAGCGAAGCCAAATTAATAATTTTAATGATATTTAGGCATTTTAAAGCATCTTTAAACAGGCCACACACATTTTTCTTATTTTATTACCCAGCAGGTGGCACTAACTCCTAAACTAAATCTAAAACATCTCACCAGACAAGCAGCCATTAAAGGCAAACCAACCTTTGAGGATAATATTGGACCTCATAAACCTGTTTATACCAAATATATATTTATAAACCTGAAAGTGGAGTGGGTCTGATTCTCAGAGGGGGTTAATTAAAGTGTGAGAAAAGAATTAAAGCATAAAATCACAATGTTTGTTTTTATGTTTAAAAGTACAAGAGGTGCAGGATGTGAATTAAATTAAAGTCGAACCTGAGGATGATATATAATAAAAAATAAAACGTATTTCCAGATTTCAGTCATATTTCATGATTCTAAAGGAAGTGAATAACGAATCTTTTATCTTCTGTTTTCTCATGTTAGTTTTTTTATTCTTCAGAAGAGATTAAAGCGCCTCGTGGGATTTTAATTATTTGTTTGACCGTTCCTCACACACTTTGACTTAAACATTTTAACTTTACTGTCTGAAGTTTTAAACAGTAAAGAAAGAGGCTGAACACTTTGTGATGAATGGTGACGGTCTGCCTGGGGAGAAGTGACAGCTCTGGTTCCCTTTGGTGAGTTTTGGGAAGCCAGCAGGCCAAAATGGACCGGAGCCCATCCTTTGTTTCTGAGAGGCGCTGCTGGCGTTGGCTCCGGTTCAAGTCGAACAAACTCAATCTCCCAGCAGCTGCTGCTTCACGACGTCCTCCAAGTCTCCAAGTCCGCAGGGCGCACAGTCTGGACCTCAGAAAGACTGGAGGTAAACTTAAACGAGACGGAGAAACTAAAGGAACGTGGAAACAGTGACACCGACAGTGGAGGTGAAAGGTGTGAAGGGAGGAGACACCAACACCAAGAGAACTGAAAATACCCAGAGAATAGACAGGCCCCGCTCAGAACCTCAAACTACAAATAAACATATTTAAATTACGCTCAACTGAATCTTAGAATTTCAATTCTGGATGAGTCGCAACAACTGGGTTTCAGTTTTTTATATTCCCAATTCATCTGAACTTCTTCTGCAAACTTTGAGCTTTTCTAGAAGTTCGGCTCATTCTCAAGTTTGGTTATTGTAACTTTAACAGTTTGCTCAATATTTAACTATAATAAATATTCCCCACGGGGGAGTGGGTAGTGCAGAGGTTACAGAATGTGGGCCTGTGATCGGAAGATTGCCAGTTCAACTCCCGGTACAGATAACACCAAAAATGTAGGTGGAAAAGGTGAAGCACCCACACCTGATCCCACCCTCATGTGCCCTTGAGCAAGGTCCTTAACCCCCACCATCTGCTCCTCCAAGCGCCCTAGATAGCAGCTCTCTGCTCCACACAGAGGGCTGTGGTAGCTCGGTGGCCCATGGTTGTGTCAGGAATGACATCCGGCATAAAAATAATTGCCAAGTCTTTATACAACTTAGTTCGCTGTGGTGACCCCTAACTAGAGCTGTCATTTCTAACCTGAACCCAGAGCCCGGTCCGGCCCGACCTGGATTAGGGCCGGGCCATAATAATGTGCTTAATGGGTGGGCCGGGTCGTATCGGGCTTTTGATTGTGTCAGCGGAAACGCCCGGCTGACAATTCAATTATATGGCAACATGGTTTGCCATACATTTACCAGCCACGCGTGGCCATTTCACCGCGAGCTGACCGGCCTTGAAAGAGGCAAAAAAAAGTTCAGTTAAGCTTCAGATGGGACTATACTGTCTGGCAGCGATCCATCAAGCCCTAATGACCCTTCATTCAGCCGCTGCACTCTGCGGACGCGCACGGCCGACGACCCAAACAGGTGAGATCCCAAAATGTCCGACATGTCAAAGCAGGGTCCATGTTTGAATAATGCAGAATGCAGCAGGGATTTAATGTGTTTCGATGGCCATGAAAGGACAAACACCCCCTCAGCTCTGATCTTCTGCCCCTTTCATGCAGCCGTGCGCATCTGCTGACCGTTAATAACTACAAAGTATAAGCAGTCAAAGCTTAATTAAAAATATTGTTTTGTTTTTTTCGAGTTCGGACCTGTAATTACTGTTAGTCCATCGAGTCGGGTGGGGTTCGGAAATGATGGCTGCAGGCTGGGGCCGGGCCGGGTCGAATAATTTGGGCCTGAATGCAACTCTACCCGTAACGCAGGGAGCAGCCGAAAGAAGAAAACAAATAAATAATAAATAAATAAAATATGTCCCACAAACAAACACAATGAGAACTCTAATTCCTTAAAAAACACCGTTTCCTTTAAATCTGCTTCAGCTCAGTTTGTCTTCCTTTGCTGGTTTGAGCTTTTAGCTAAACTTTAGCTATTTTTCACTTTGTTTCTTCTAGTTTTTAGCTGATGTTTTGCTGCTTTTAGCTAGACTTCTGCTACATTTAGCTATTTGTTTGCCTTTGTCAGACTTTTAGGTAACATTTTGCTACTTTTAGCTTTTAGTTAGCTTTTTCTTACATTTTACTTTTAGTAAGCCTTTTAGCTTTTGTTTAGCTACACTTAGTGAGTGTTTTGCTGCTTTAATTTTTACCTAGTGTTTTGCTGCTTTTGCCTTTCTAGCTTTTTGCTAACCTTTTGCTGCTATTAGCTATTGTTTTAGTGTTTTTTTTTGTTTTTAGATTTTTTTGTTTCTTTCTAAAAGTAGTGTTTTGCTGCTCGTTGTTTTTATTACTCTAAATGTTTTCTGAAAATACGGCTGTATAGTTCCTCTTGCTGTTTGAATTTGCAGACGAATCATCCAGACAGAATTATTTTTCACGCAGGATGGAGTCGTGCACGCTGACATCGTCGATGTTTGTGTAAAACAAGATTATAAGCTTGAGTCCGAAACTGCATTTAGGAATAGATTGTTTCCCCTCACCTGTTCTCTATATATTTTTAATCAAACTGTTTTTAATAGTCTTCTTGTGTCAGCATCTTCGCAGCCACACGATGAAAACATGAAAGCGATGGAGGTTACTGCATGTGAGATATTTAGCATTATAAAATAAATTAATGCCAGGTTAAAAACCTTTCTGACACAAGAGCAAAAATAAACAACTCACCCGTTGATTCCAATCTTCACCATTTTGTCTGGTCTTCATTAAAAGCAAGAAAAAAGTAAAACATATATTTACACATCATTTGACTCATGTTTATGGGATTTTAAACAATAGCAAGGAAATGGTTAAATGCACTTTGAGCTTCCTGTTGCCTCTTATCATTAGAAAATAAAAGAGAAGCTCACAGAAAACAAAAAAAATCATCACTTTGTAAAAGTTTCCTCGCAGCTGCGACTCAAAAATTTTTAAATAAAATCTTTCTTCTTGTCTAAGTTAAATAATAAACAGTAAAAACATTCACCTGGACGGTTTGAGCAAAGTGTTTCTGTCCACCTGAAGATGCTGAGGAGCGTCAGAAAGAGACGCACGCGTCGTTTTATTCCAGCTGTGAGCCGCTGGAGCCACGCCCCCTTTACATCCCGACCTCCAGGTCGCGCGAGCTTCTGTCAAACTAACGTCTCAATAAAAATGTACTCATCCTCCTGGGAAAATATACAAAAACAGCCATGTTCACTTGAAGTTTCATGTTGGTTTTGATTCTACGAAATGTGACGCAACGACTCACCTGCTGGAAACATTCCTCCGCCAGGAAAAGTAGTTCCTGAGCAGCTGCTTAATTCATTCAACCTTTATTTATACAGGTTAATCCCATTGAGCCTCGGGGACTCATTTACAAGAGAGACCTGATTTTTTTTTATTAACAAAAATTAATGAGGTTGATGGTTTAATAAATAAAAATAAATAAATGTAATCAATGATTAATAAGATTGATGGTTTAATGAGGTTGCCATGATGCAGAAACATGCAGCAGTTAGTTTGAATATCTAGAAGTGGTTATAATAAAAGTTATGCTCTCTTTTGTGTTTGCTAACGTTCATTTTGGATTTGATCGACTCCCAAAGTTAGATTTGTAGATATTCAGCAAAAAGTGATTATTTTCTGAGAGTTTCACTAAAACCCATGGAGTGCGTAGATCCTATATTTCAATGAAAAATATTTTGCTAACAGTCAAACAGGACTGATGCCAACAGTATGAGACAAAGCTTTAAACAAAGATGTCAGCGTGCAGCTCACAGTACGAGAAAGGGATGACGTTCAGTTAGTTCACTGATGCAGTTCTTCAGATCAACATCTGGAGAAATAAACAAAAGTTAAAGTTGATAAATAGGATGTCCAAACGTCTCGTACAGTCCTCACAGCGTCAGGATCTCAAACTCTGACGGGGGCAACAAATGGGGCAACACTTTGTCTTCCTCTGCTTGAATAGGTCTTGACAAACCATCCTACATCCAACAACATGCCAGCTTTGTGTGAGAACACGCGTGTTGTGGCGTAACCGTGTTCAGACGTGGAGTCTGTTCAACATTCAGCTTGATAAAGTCTTTGTTTTAGATCACGGATGCATTCCAGCTGAACTGATAAGCAGCATAATCTACCACTGCCGTGTTTAATCTAAGGAAATATAAAGGTGTGTGTGTATGGGGGGGGGGGGGAGACCTTGTTGCTATGACAACGTCAGAGGTTAGACAGCCGGTTAATAATTCAGGTCTCGCTCACTCCTGACTAATGTTTGTGTCTCTGCAGCAAACATGGCGGTAAATTCAGGAGGAGTTGGGCCTCCTTCAGAATAAAAGCTGCTGTCTCACTTCCTGTTTTCATCTGGATTTTTACTCAGATCAAACTTTATGCACTTTAAAAAGTTTGCCTCTTTCAGTGTTCGAGTTCTGCAGGAAGAAACTGTTCTCTGTTCTTGAGCGACGTTCACAGAAGAAACACGTCCACTCTCAAAACTTATGATTTTGTTTTTACTTCTTACGCAATATAAAGTTTTCTTTTAAGTGCATTTGAACATTTAATACAAATAAAACCACGTTTAAGTAAAAAGAGTTGGAAAAAGTTTTTTAAAATCCAAACATGTCCACGCTGACCAGCAGCACAACAGAACAACAAAAACACATTTTAAATTTTTATTTAAATTTTATTTCAGACCTTTTTCTAAAGAGCATGTTCGGTTTAGTTGTTTTATTGTTTTAAACCTGTGCAGTTACAATTAGATTTAAACTCCAGCAGCCGAGAGATAAACTGAGTGCAGGCGCTGACTTGACAAACAAGAGTTTAAAAATACTTGACACACTTTAAATACATTGTGATTTTGTGGGAAATGATCTTATTTACATAAAATAGTTAAAAGATGAAAGAAAGCAAAGCGATTTGACAAAGTGAGGTGTTTATGGGGATTTATTTGACCTCATGCACACCCTGCCGTGCGCGTTGTTTTATCTGAATGTGGACATTTTTAAAAAATTAGCTGTATATTTTGATATTTATAAAATTGAAATCTTGTTCTATTAATCTGCTCACCTTTTTACACTTTTATAAGTTTGCAAACAGTTATTCCAGTGCTGGTTTATTTTTAAAATGTACAAAACTCATAAACATGAAACCAAAACTAGAGTTTAAACGTTTGCAGCATTAATGAATTATTATTATTTTTTTTAATCCCACAAAACTTTAATTGTTTGTGCACGTTCTCCGGCATCCATCTTGGGGTACTGCAGCACCCTCTGCGCCCCAAGTTCCTCAACTTTAAGGGAAAAACATCTCTATAATCTGTTTATGATGCCTGATTTGTCTTGTGCACTCGAGCCTGTTAGAGTAAAAATATGCAAAATAAAAAAAAAAATAAATAAAATAAAAGCTGGAGCAAAAAGACACAGATCAGAGAAGGTCAGAGGGGAAGTGGACGAGATTAAAAACCAACACAATGCTGGTGATGAGAATAAAAATTAAACAAATATCTGCAGGGACTCTACATTTAATTTAATTTTACCGTATTTTTCAGACTGGCGCACTTAAAATCCTTAATTTTTCTTAAAAATCAACGGTGAGCCTTACGTATTAAATTTGTTTGTGCTTAACCTCGAACTGATTTTCCGTGGTTCCCGTGAACGAGCTGAACAAAGTTTGACGTATTTGTTTCGCTTAATGCGCCTTATAATCTGAAAAATATGGTAAATTTATATTTATGTCCATTTTTTTAACTTTATCTTTACCTTTTTTTTTTAAACAACCACAAAATGCACTAAAGCAACACAGAAACAGTATACTTTTTTTTTTTATAACTTTATAATATATTAGAGTTTTAAAAAACATTTCCAGGAGCTAAGATTTAGCAGAACCTTATTTTGCTGAAGGTGTTTTAGTTTAAACATCTTTTTATTATAAGTTTTATTATAGATTTAAAGGGATAAAATATAAAATAAAACATCAACTTGATGGTTTGGTTAAAAAAAAACAACATTTTGACACAATTTGCAATTTCAGTTTTATCAAAATGTCAAATATTTAAACATGAAATAACTTTATTTTTTAACTTTTAGGGGAAAAAGCTTAATTATATACATATTTAAATTATGTGTACAATGTTGTTTAATTTGTGAAGTCATAAAATATATATAAATTTAAAAATAAATATGTTAATTTAAATTTGATATAACAACCTAAAAGAAACAGCAAACCTTATTCCCAGAGAGACTTTTGTTCGGTTGCCAGGTGTTGATGTTGTGGCACTCGTTTTTTTTTTTTTTTTCATTCAACCTTTATTTATACACGTTAATCCCATTGAGCCTCGAGGACTCATTTATTAGAGAGACCTGGATTTTAAGAGTGATCACTGCAATGGACAACAACGAAAACAAGAGACAATTATAAATACGCGTACAAATTTAATAGTTTTTTTATTTTCATTTTTTTTAACAAGTTAAAGTAAAATGGCAACCAAAAGGGCAATCAAAAGGAAAAGTAGCAACAAAAAAAAAACATCTAGTATGTAAGACGGTGTAGAAAACTAACACTAGTTTTTGCATTGTATTTAATTTTACTAAAGTTTTAGCATTTTTTGCAAACATTACACCAGAAATGTCCAAAAGCAGATGGTGGTTACAGAATGTTAACTTTACATCCTGATTAAAAATGTGCAAGACACAGATAAGTAGTAAAAATGCATTCATTAGTTTAGCAGTAAAATCAACATTTATTTATATTTTATGATCCAGGATGAGACGTCACAGTCCTCTGCTGTGATTGGTTGGGTTTGTCACATTATATAATCATACGTGACATCATTTCCTGGCGGCACGGTGGCTCAGTTGGTAGAGCTGTTGGCTCTCAACGAGAAGGTTGCCAGATCAAATTCCAGCCAAGGGGATTTCTGGGTGGAGTTTGCATGTTGTATCCGTGCATGCGTGTTTTCTCTGCGTACTCCTCCCACAGACCAAAAACATGCATGTTAGACTGATTGATAACTCTAAATTGTCCCAAAGTGTGAGTGAGAGAGTGAATGGTTGTTTGTCTCATTTGTCTCTGGACTGGAGACCTGTCCAGGTGTCCCCTGTCTCTCACACAGTGACAGCTGGATATGGGCACCAGTGACCCCCATGATCCAAACAGGAAGAGGTGAGTAAAGATATCACTTCCTGAAATAAACTGGAGATTTGTTCCCACACTCCTCAGATGTTTAGTTTCAAACAAAGGTGATATATATATATTTATATTTATTTTTTCTTTTTCCGAGCCCAGATGCAGCAGCTGGTTCTAACAAGAGACTTGATCCGTTTGTAATTATCTGATAAAATGAAGTCCTGTGAGACAGCGGCCCTGCAAACCAGCGCTCCCCTGCAGGATTAGAGCATCCGTCTTCATCGAGCTGCAGCCTCGGCCTCGGCCGCAGAGACCGAATCTACGAGCTCTCCTGGCAGACGAGGAACGTGCCGACCTTGTGTCGTCCTCTGTTCCAGGAACGAGCCTCTAATCAGCTCTGCAGAGAGGAAGAGGGGGTAACTGGCAGTCAACCAGGTGAGGGGGTAAATGAGAAGTTGCTGTCGAGCTCAGCTCCACGTTTTATTTTCATAAATCATTCAGCAGCTGCTTGTTGCACAAACATGAACGTGGCGTTCGAAAAGTTACACAGCGACTTTTAAACAATTGACGTTATTAAGCACGTTTACATTTCTGAGATTAATGAGCACTTTTTTTCAAATCATAAAATGTTTTTACACAATTCAAATAATTTTTTTTGCAAAATTACACTTTGATTATAGATGAATTCAGCAATGCATATTTAATAACTTGTCTTTTTGACCCAGAGTTTATTGATTCATTCTTTCTGTCAAAACAGATAAAACATTTTTGCATCATCAAACAATATTTGAACCTTATAAAACAGATAAAAATCAAAGAAATACGTAACTATAGCAACTTGTGCACACAATTTTGTTTCTTTCTTCTAATAGAATTAATATTAATGCATGATGCTTGGCTTTTAATCAGACATTTTGATCAGAATG